GAGCAGAAGCACACAAAAAATATGAAAGGCATTAACAATAAAACGAAAGCTGTTGCTCCTTCTTATTTCTACGAGTCCCTATATTTAACTAGCCCACCATGATACACTGTACCTTCTCCATTTCATGTATCTGCACCCCTTCTACCACTTGCAAGCACTGTGAACTCTGTGAACCAAAACCTTACTTTTCCGAGACCCTAGAGGCAGCTACGGTTACTACAAATGGACACACCCAAGTGCCAAAATATGTTGGCGAAAGGAAGGTAATCAAAATGGGAAAGCATTACTACTAACATACCGGATTCCAGGCACAGGCCACATAGTTTAAATATTATATGAAGATTTTGAATTCTTACATTGTCGTGTCCTTACTCATTTTCACCCTCACTCCTAACGGCTTTTCCATGCGGAACAGTGCAACTTCAACGTTGGTTTTCATGGCTACATACTTTTGATTTCTGTTTCAGCTCAAACGATTTTTCAGAGGCACGAGATGAACTTCTTCTCGACATTTCTGTCGCTAGCGACTCTGATAATATCAGTGGAGAATGTGAAAATCAGGGTCAGGAAATTCTTTTATTCCGAAAACAGTTATGTCCAGACTTGATCGTAGGGGGAGGGAAGATATTCTCATTCGTTCACTTCCTTCTTCATACGTGTTCATGTTTCTCTTGCATAGTGACGTCTATTGGTAATTGCCCGCTCCCTGATCAGGACATGAATGCAAGGAAGTTTTAAAGGTGTAGTCGGAACTGCTAGAGTGTAGCGAGCATCGAGGGTAGCGTTTGTGATCAAATCTTGGGATGCGTTTGAGCTTTTGATGAAGATGATTGAAAAGATGGACTGCTGTGCACTTTGAAAACCACGAAAGGTTTATAAACATTGAGGAAGTTATGTATGCCACTGTTAACTTTGGAATGTTTCAGATTTATTTCTCAAGAGCCAATGAGAATTGCGCTGCTGCTGATTCAGAAAGTTTGGCTTCACTCCGACTTCGTAGAATAAGGCCAGCGTTTTTCAACAAGAAAACCAGACAGATCTTGAAAATGTCGAGATGGCAAATGCATCAGTATAATGCCATACGCGGGTTCTTAACTGAAAACTGGGAAGGAGACTTGACAAACATTACCATTGGTGTCTACCTCTCCTTTGTACGGGCTTCGAATCTTCGCAGTAATGAAAGCCCTTTCACCAATCACAAATTGGAAAGCGAAACTTTGCTTGATGAAAAAGAAGTTGTACCGGCCGGTACTGGCACTGATTTCTCCGTAATGTACAACGATGCTCCAATCATGATGAAAATTCATATCTTCTTCTTGAAATCAGATGGAAGTAGAGGAGAAACTCATTCGTAAGAACTTATTCCCTATGGTATTTATTTTGGATTGAAAAAGGTTGATAGTTTTGCAGGTTGTACATTTCCAACAACTGTACTGAAAGTGGAAAATGGATTGCTAACGAAGGGTATTACCGGCTTGACGTCAACACCGGAAACTTCGTTCCTATTTATTACGATCCTGTTGAATCGGACTTTTACTACTGAATAAAAGTGCTGACTCAAAAGAACTAAATTGTAAAAGACGACCTTGGAACATTGGAAATCTGGGACACCTTACCGTTTTTCTTCAATTGAACGACAGCCATGGATATCTGTCACGGGACTATATTGGGCAGTCTCAGTGGTGACAGTCCCCATAACCTATTGGTTCAAGATCCGATATCAGCTCTGGCATTATGCCAAGAGACAAGTGGGCCCATTTCAAGAACGTCTTCCACATCATGTATGTTCACAAAATAGAGCTGTTCTTAACTTTGCCTGCTCATAGATACTGACCATGGAGATAGGATTTTAAAAATCTCAATAGCACGCTGAAGAATTCGATTGGCTGATGCCCTGATTGCATATTCGCTGACAAAACACTAGAATTTGTAGCAAGGGTCACGAGTCGAGAGCAAGTCTAAATTCTGTTTGTACGGTCCCCCTTCTGTCCTTTGAACTACATTCTACAACTATTTCCCTGATTGTTCATATTTTTTTGCGCCTAACCCGGGAGAATCAGTCAAGAGCCTCACCATAAAGCATCCGCCATTAGCCTCCCACACTACACTTATTTTTATTGAAAGAAGTTTCAAATGAATTGCTTTACTGATCCGCCATCGATAGATGACTGTGCGTGCCATCATACAGAAGGTCCTTCGATGTATTCTTTGCTCACTGTGATCCACTTTTTGTAAAAAGATCAGTTGCCCCTACTATTGATTTTGAGCCATGAATCATTCTCTCTCACTGTGTAAGAAAGCTGTGTACGGCCCATCTGACTTGCAGTCCCGCTTTATAGATTATTCCGTTGGAGCTGTTGTCTTCCATGGCTATTAGTCGGTTTATGACAGGCTTCTGTTTGAGCTCTGGTCATATGTATTTGCAGATAGTAGTCAACCTAGAGATTTTTGCCGTTAAACATATTAGGGATAGGCGCGTAAGTTGAGAATGCCCTTCCGTTCACCTGTACCACCCGTCCATGAATTGCACGAAAATGCGCCAGTAACGTCTCCATTCGTCCCTGTCGCGAGCCCATGAACAGCAGTGAATCGCACACAATCATATTCCTTAGATTAAATCCCCAACCGTACTCACCCAGCTAATCGAACCATTTATCTCTACGGTCTCGGTTAATTAGTGTCAGACTAGTCTGAGAGGAAAAAAGCACTGAATTGTATGTACATCGGCTGGCCACGGCAAGTCTTCGTATGTCTAGCATTCAATATGTCGCTACGGTTTTGACTTAAAGCCGAATATGGGGAGCAACTCGAAAACGGGTTTGACTGAAGCGAAAGGCTTTGTGATTTCAGACTCCAACACACTCGGCCGTCCAAGCTGACCTGCTGCTGTAAAAG